TTTAAACTTTCCTTCTGGGACACCATTTTCTTTTCTTTTGGTTTCTCTCTTACTCTGCTGGCTATTACTTTTCTGTCTTCTCTGCAGTGACTTCTGACCTCCTCCACATCTAAATGTTGATGCCCTGGAGGGCTCAGTCCTCTGCTTTCTTCCTGTCTCTAGGCACATTCATTAGCTGGGGATCTCTTTCAACCTAATGGCTTTAAATATCATCTGGACACCGACAACTCTAGATTTATGTCACCAGCCAGGACTCTCCTCTGACCTTGAGACTCATATATTCAACTGCCTGCTCAACCTCTCCATTTTGATGTTTAAGAAGTTTCTTAAAGTTAGCATCAGTAACACCGAATTCTTGATTCTTCTCCCTCTGGATTTGCTACACCAACCGCATTTTCTCTGTTATCAGTAATGGCAACTCCGTCCTTCTAGCTGCGTAGTCAAACTTTTGAAATCATGCCCAACACCTTTCTTTCTCTCACACTCAATATCCAGTCCATCAGCCTATCCTTTCAGCTTTCAAAAGATATCCAAATGTGATCTATATTTTTCAGTTTCTAATGTTGTCTATCCAAGCTGAGCCACATTCATCGTGAACCTTGGTACTGTAAGGGCCCCCATATGCTAACAGCCTAGATTACTGTAACAGATTACTGTTATAATAGATCACTGTTAACAGGTTTTTCTTCTGCTCTGATACCCTCTATGCTTATACTCAACACAGCAGGTGGAGTTTATCCTTGAAAATATTAGGTCATATCACTATGACTAAGCCTCAATGGCTTCCCATATCACTCAGAGTCAAGGGCAAAGTCATTATAGCCTATGCTACATTTGGCAGTTTCCCCTCTCATTCCAATTCTCTGATTTTAGCTATTAGGACTCTTCCCTTTGCCACTCTGCTCCAGGTATCCTGGCCTCCTTGCTGTTCCCCAGACACCCCAAGCAAGTTCCCACCTCATAGCCTTTGCATCTGGTGTTCCCTTTGTCTGGAATGCTCTCTTCCAGACGTCCAGAATGCTTGTCTCTTTGTTTTTTCAGTTCTTTTCTTAAGTGCAATTTTAATAGAGATCTGCTCTGAACACCTTATACCAAAAAAAAAAAAAAAACAAAAACAAAAACAACATTCCTTTCTATCCACCTGAGCCCCTACCCTGCTTTATTTCTCTTGCCATCAGCACTATATGTTTTCTGGTTTGTTTGCATCCCATCCATCTCCACTCATTAAAACTGTAAGTTTTGTGGGAGCAGAAACTGCACCTGTTCACCTCAGTACTGCTTCCCCACCACAGCTTCCTAGCACATGGTACATACTCAGTCAACAGCTGTTGAGTGAACGGAGGGATGGATATGGGTAGAGTGAAAATGGAGAGATACTGATGCACTTGAGATCTGTTCAGATGGTAGAACAGTCAGATTATAATGATTTACTGAGTAACGAGCAGGAGACAAGAAAGGGAAAAGAGGGGTCCCAGAGACTGCCCGAGTTACACACATGGGGAAGTGAGTTGATGGTGTAGTATTGGCTGAATGTGAGAAGATGAGAAACAGGACTGGATTAAGAAGAAGGGCAGATAAGGAGAAATTCAATTTTGAAAAATATGAGATGAAGGTAATTGGTAGACACCAGGAACCATCCTGGAGGTGGCTGACTTGGGAAGTGGTAATGGGATTTGTGTTTAGCAGGCATTGCTGCTGGAAACTATGTGGAAAGGAGATGGAAAGAAGACCATGTGTGTGGTTCTGGGTTATTTTTCAGGGGAAAGCGAAATCCTTCTCATCCCTACAGTGAACTTGCTGAGCAAGCCTCTCCTCAGGAGCCCATGGCCTTCTGGAAAGCCACAGCCCCAAGCCTCCTAGAAGCCCCATTGTCTGAAGGCAGCCTTTTTCCATCTGACTCTGGGGGTGCGTGTTTGCCATTCAGAATCTACTATATTTTACTGCACCTCCTGACATTGTTACACAACATTTATTGAAAGCACATTTGATGGTAATGAAGTTTCTATTAACTATGATTAAATCTCATAAAGCACCTGAAGATAATTTAAGATGTGCAGAAGCAGAAAATGAAACATTCGGTTTAGTACATTAGGATACGTAATTGATTAAATTATCTCGTTTACAATAAGTGCTTTCATGAGCTATGCAGTGCACATATTTTCCCCAGTTTGTCATTATGATTTGCCAACAGATATCTTAAGACCTCACTTTCTCTTTACCCCTCTCTGCAACTCAAAGCTGGCTCCTTGGCCTGCCTGCTCACAGAGCACTGCTTTCGAACTGAGTAATGTCTTCTTTCCACCAGGCCTTGTGGAGGATCATGAGTACAGCTATATATAGGAACAGGTTGTTTCTCAATTATCTTCATAATTGACTTTGATTTTGCATCAGTGATGATTCATATAGTCTTAAACTAAGCCCCTCTTTCACTGAACAACCACAGCCTGAATTTGTATAATGCACTCCTAACCATGCAGCTTACAGAACCCTGTCTGGATTCCTCTGGGAGCCTTTTGCAATCACATTGATTCTGTTAAGGTTTTATTTTTAGGAAATCACAAATTAAAACAGTTTAAGCGATTCCGTTGCAGTATCCAGCAATTAAGCATGGTGTTCATGAGTGAGAACCCCAAGCAAAAACTAATTCAGGAGTCCCTGAGGACTAGAAATAGCTACTGTGGGGTTTATGGCTGGAAGTACAGATGTAACCAAATTAAAATGGCACAGGACTCACAAACTAAGCATGAAATTAATTAAAAAAAAACCCCACATTTCTAAGTAACTCTCATGGTGGCCACCACATGGACACCCATGATCTTGCTGGTGCTACACATGACAGCCAGTGGGGGGGCATGGCTACGTCACCCGGAGACAGTGGGGGGGGGTCCAGCTGTCACTCTGAGGTCTTGACACAAGCACAAACAGCCAAATATTTACTGACTCGATTTTTTTCCTCCCTTCCTCAACATACACATATACACACACATATTCACAACCAGGTTCCCCCTCTTCAGCCTTCCTGAGTTCAAAATCACCAAGCAGGATGTCAGGGGATCACTATCTAAGTACCAATAATGACTTGATGGGCAGTGGACCTCAGGGGGAAAATGTTAAGGAAGTTTGTTTTTGTTGTTTTGCAAAGTCCTCAGACTCTGCAAGTTAACGCCACCATTATATCTCAAGCCTGCCTGAAGCAACATAACGAAGTATGAAGTAACAGCTTTCCCGGATCTTTCTCTCATGTCTCCTGACCCCCGTCCCAAGATGCCTATTTCTGTCTATCCTCACAGGATCTTAATTCCTTCAAAGAAGTTCGCTAATAAAAGCTATTAGCTCTCCCAAGCTATTTGAATTTTAATACCCTAGGATTTAAAAGATCAAAAGTCATTCACTTTACACTCAAATGGGAGATACTGGCTAGGGACATCTTCTAAAAGCTTATAAACCAAACTGGGCAGCTTGCTACCTCTCCTGTACTTAAGAGTTGTATTGTTGAGGCTCTTCTATTTCAAGGTTCCCCTCCTAGGCTTTACATACTTCTGAGTGCTTCAGGATCATTTGAGGAACATAGGAAAATGTAGATTCTCAGGAGGGCCCTCCCTCCTCCCGCCATCTTGTTCCAGGGATTCTAATTCATTTTTTCTATTCTGAGGTGGTGTGTATTTAACAAGCTCTCACCACACCCCAAGAATTTGAGGCAATGATTGCTGATCCCCTTTTTGAGAAATATTTTTCTAAGTTATTCTCAGCCCACGCTGCACATTGGAATCTGAGGATCTTCTAAAAAAAAAAAAACAAAAACAACAACAACAAAAAAAAAGCCAGGCATTCCTATCCTTACATGTGGAATCCAAACAAAACAAAACAAAACAAAACAAAACAAAAAACGAAAAACAAATGAACAAACAAAACAGAAGCAGATTCATAAATACAGAGAACAAAGTGGTGGTTGCCAGAGGGGTGGCGAATTGGTGAAATAGGTGAAGTGGATCAAGAGGTACAAACTTGCAGTTATTTTAAGTCCTGGGATTTAAAGTATAGCATAAGGGAATACACTATATAATATTGTAATAACTATATATAGTGATAGGTGGTAACTAGACTTATCATGGTGATCATTTCCTAATGTACATAAAGTTGAATCACTGTGTATATAATATTGTTTGTCAACTATATTTTAAGGGAAAAATCATATATATTGAAATATGCATTAAAATCTTTAGATCCTTAACAAACACAAAACAGGAATTCTAACCGATCCCAATTCTGATTCCATTGGTCTGGGGGTACAGCCTGAGAACTGGGCTTTTTAAAAAGGCCCCAGGTGGTTCTAAAGAACCCAGGTGGTTCAAAAGTTGAGCCAGGGATGAAAGCCATAGGGTCAAATGCCTAGCTGCCAACCATTCACAGTGTGACTTTTCCCAAATCTTGCTGGATGTGTAAGGTGGATATGATGTAAAAGCCTCTCCAGGAGGCAAGTTTGTGTATGGAAAGCTCAAGCTAGCACCAACACCAAAATTTTTAGTTTCTGATGATTTCACTGTGGAATACTGGTTTCTAATCACCCACTTGCTATGAATTTCACAGTTTGCATTTCAGGTGCCCCCTCCTCCTCCTTTTCCACCTAGGTAGAGAGGCTTGTAGTCAGGCTCTTGCACAACGCTGCTCTCATGAAAGCTTGTACTGACAAATATTTATTAATTTTAATGCTATAAATCTCCTTAGCAATAAGAATCCTAGATGACATTTGCAGAGAAATGGACTTATAGGCAGGCAGCATCAAGAGGAGAGATTTACTTTTACTCAGAGGTAGGGGAGGGGTGTGCATATTTCCTTTCGATTTAAATCTCTGATATGTGACTCCAAACCCAAGGAGTAGAAGTCTTGAAAGCCCTGGATCTTTTGCACAAACTTCAATTTTGTTTGGCTCCTAAACAAATACAACAGTAAGGCAGCAAATATGAGAATAAATTATATTCACAAGAGGAAAGATAACTTACTTTGGGGTTTTATTTCATGAAGAGGTTTTTTATCTAAAAGAAAGAAAGAGAAAAAGAAAGTTTCATTTAATAAATTTACATGGAGCAGATAGATTTCCTATATCACTGTATGTCCACCTCTATAAATGAAACATTTTCTCTATTTTTGCAGACGATAATGGATTATGTTGTCCGTATTTTTCCTTTTCATTCTAATTTCATATTTTTCTCTTGTGCAATATTTTCCTATGGTGATTGCTTCATTCCTTTTATTTATTTTTCCTTTTCCCTCAGGCTTACTAGAGTTTCTCTCTGCTGCATTTACTAGATTCTTATCAGCATGATGAGAGCAGGGAGTTTGCAGCGAGTCCCCTGTTCCTATAGCCAGAAGACAGCTCAGGTAAGAGATGCTATTTCACTATATGTGATGATGGAAAAAAAAAATGAGCTGGTGAATACGTATTTACAGGGATCCTACTTGGTTTAGCAGTTATTGTAGCCTGGATGAAAACTTTCAGGCTATGCAATTTGCCCGTCTTTTTTGAGGATGGATGCTGTATTGTGAGCTTGTTGGAGGCTTGTTTCATATCTCTCTGATCTGTTACGATATGTACCATCTCTCTGAATGGATCAGGTCATCTTGTAAGCGTGGTACCTAGCAGTGCAGCAGGCAGGTGAAGTGGACAGAGAAAAATCATTGAAGGGTCAGGCTCAGGTGAGACCTTTTGATCATTTCTCCCTACTGCCCTCCAGCCACTCTCTCCTGCCCTGTCTGTCATCACTAGAGAACCTAGTAAATCACTCTGAGACTTGGTGCCTGTGGCTAACTCTGTCGTAGACTGCGGACAGGCTGCTTCCCATTACCCCAGCAATCCTAGACCAACACCACCTCACCACGACACAGAAACCTGAGAAGACTCTGTTTTAGTCACTGCATCGGGATTCCAGAAGATTTGCAGGGGGTGACCTCCCTCTTATCAGTCTGCTTCTGAGAATTTGGATGGAACACGGTCAGACTATGAGCTCTGAGGCTGTTGCTCATCATTCGCAGAATCACACGATGGTAGGGGACCTTGAGAGGTCACCTTACACAGTCCCTTTCCTCCACTTGCCTGAGGGCAAGCCAGGCAGGGGGAGACACTGTCATTTTGGATTACGTTTTTAATGGCATCAAATCTAGCCCAGTACGTATTGGACAACTTTATAAACATTATCTGACTGCAACATATCCCCTCCCAGGCAGAGAGACACAGCCATATTCTGAATCCTTCACCAGATGCGTGTCCCTCTAACCTGCTCCTGCACTTAGTACTACTTCTGACAGCAAACCCTTGCAGTGTGCCTTCCTGAAGACAGCTCTTGTGGGTTCTGTCATCGATTTATCATGGAAGTAGCTTTTAAAAGTTGTAAGTCACCCTCTTGCAAAGGGACCACTGTTTGTTTGTTTTCCCCTTGTTATAAAGACAAGGATAAGTGGCAGAGGATAATTTCCAGCAAAGCTCTCTTTAAAATGAAAAATATTCATAAAAGATAATAATTTGCTCAAGGGGATAGGATCATATTCAGATTTTTACACAGAGTTCTTAAAACAGTCAACACTTGCGCCCCCCCTCCTTTCCTGCACGGATCTAGGGCTGCTGGTTTTCCCAAGATCGGGTTGGCACCTCCCAAAGTCCAGATGCTAATGCACCCAAGAATTAGAATCAAACGGCTTTGGTGGCTTTAACCTGACTTCAGATTTTGCTTATTGCATGCTATCGGAAAGCATTTGGAAGGGGCAGAGGATGCTGGCAGGCCAGGCCAAGACGTCTGGAAGTGATGCATTGCTAAGGCTACACACAGAGACTTGTAGAACATCTGTTTAGGACTCTAGCTGAGCTTAACAGCATTTTCTTCCCCCTAAACCACAGGAACGCAGATTATGCTGGGTCGCAAAATGAAACTCCATTAGAAACAGGTGAGATATAGAACCACTCCTCAGAAAATAAATCAAATACCGTCAGGCTGTTAAAACACCGAGGTGGTAGGGCTCTACCGGGCACAGCTCTAAAGAGTGAATGGGGCAGAAAAAGCCAGGGTTCAGCTGGTCATGAGACAAACTCAGTCGACAAGGGCACAAAGGGCAGAGAAGAGTGGGGCACTGCCTCTCTGACCAAGCTCTGGGGTCATTGTTATTGGCAGTGGCATTGTGGGATTAGTGCAGACTCCCATGGTTAGCATAAGATTTCCATCTTCAATGGTTATGAGAAATATAAAGCCAATAGCTTAGCTAGCACATGTTCAGTATCAATAAATGGTAGCTTATAAGTAATATAATTTCAATATGTTATGAATAAGAGCATCATTGCCAGTCACGCAGAGCAAGAACATGACTCTTTCTGCTGCTGCTGCCTGGAGACAAGTCACAACTCCAAATCAGAAATTATGGTGGATTTCAGGGGTACTTGAAGGGAGTTAAGAAACTTGTGTCCAGTCCTAGCTTCCACTTTAGGAAACTGAGCACAAGTTGAAAGTTCAGGTCCCTCATACAGAAAGAGAAAGACAAGGACCAGAAGACCTCTGTGGGCTCCCTAGCTTTCACCTACTATAAATTTGCAGAATAATAAGCAAAGACAATCCATAGAAATGCATGTGGAATGATTTTCTAAAGCAGAGTAAAAAATGATTCAAAGGCCACTGCTCTACTGGAGGATTTGTTCTGCTAAGGTCCAGCGTGTCAGTGTGCATTCTCTAACAGAAAAGGCTGGGAGCCTCTGGTGCCCGAGAGAGCTTCAGCCCCCTGGAATCAGCATCACAACTGGGTCCTGCTGGATTCTGTGAGATACCAGTATCTTGACAACAAGCTGCTATCATTAAACATTTCCCCAGTTTGAAATATCAGAGATTGTTCTACCATGAACTTGAGAGAGGTCTACCCATTGACCTCACTATACTGTGGAAGAACTGCTCAACCCGACATTCCACGTTCTTTTATTCTGTTTGCAAAATCATTCTCACAGGCCCTGGGCCATGCATCCACTTGGCCTTGGTCAAACAAAATCCTCTCTGCTTTCACTTTACCTCTCTCCAAGGCCACATTCAAATAACCCCTTAGTAAATTAATCCATTAGGGCCATGGTTCTTAATGTTGGCTGCACATTAGAATCACCTGGGGAGCTTTTTAAATAAATACCCAAGCCTGGGCCCGAGTCCAAGACCTCCTGACTAATTGGGGTTTGTGTTTTTGTGATTACCGGCTGTACCACTACTTCCTAGCGACAAATCTGGGGTCATGTGTACTCAACCAGTTAGTCTTGCCTCCCTAAGAAGCTTCAGGGTAGCTGTAGTATACCTGGAAGGATTCCTCCTGTATCCTATAGGCAGACAAATATAATTTTGAGCTAGTGGCAGTTGAGCTGTAATTTGGGAAAATCACAAGTTTTCCTGGGGTCTAACTTAGACACTGACAGGTACCTTTTGGGAAGTGGAAACTGATGTCATTGCAACTCAGTCTTATAATGATTGTGTGCATTTACAGGTTACAGATGCAAAAGTATGGTATTTTTTTAATTTTAAATTTAATTAGCCAACATAGAGAATATCATCAGTTTCAGATGTAGAGTTCAGTAATTCATCAGTTGCATTTAACACTCTGTGTTAGTATGTTTTAAATTGTCATGTTTTCTTTAAGAATCCTTATAGTCACTACACAATGTATCCAAAATAATAGGGATCCCTGGGTGGCTCAGCAGTTTAGTGCCTGTCTTTGGCCCAGGGCGTGATCCTAGAGTCCCGGAATCAGTCTCACATCGGGCTCCCTGCATGGAGCCTGCTTCTCCTTCAGCCTGTCTCTGCCTCTCTCTCTCTGGTCTCTCATGAATAAATAAATAAGATCTTTAAAAAAAATCAAAATTATATATATATATATATCTCAAAGGAAAAAAAACATAATTCCACACCAAGTGTTAACCATCCTTAATGTTAAGATAGATATAAAATCTAGGTTTTTTTCTCCCCCTAAGATTTTATGTATATATAAAATTATGTGCACACATATATGTTTATATGGAACATTTTTACATACAGAGACATTGAGTTATCTTTTATATATTGTTTTGCAATCTGCTTTGGTCTGTATTCTCTGTGTGTGTACAGAGGTATGTATATTTATATATATGAAAAAGGGAGAGGACAATCTATCTTTTTATTTTTGGTAGTGATTCATTTCTTTGCCATCTTTACTTTTCTTGCTTCCTCTGTTATATGAGATGCTCCTCAAGCATTTCCATGGTATCCATTGTTCTTAGGAGCTATTTATAGCTGCACTCGTACCTTCCAACCCACAGCCAGCCTTATCCTTTCTCTGCTAGGAAACAAGTGAGGCGAGCTATGTGTACCCTAGCCCATATCCTAGGGATATAAGGAGAGCAGGCCTAAGGAGAAATGGCACATGAGGACAGATGGGTTTAACTCCAACCCACAGAGTGGGCAAGAGACTGCTGTTCAAAACTTGTGGTTGGTTATTTGAAATCAGCTTCTCTGCCTTTTAAAGACTACAAAGGTATGTTTGGTACCACAGTCTATGTTACCATTTTTTGAGAATCAGGTACAGAAGCCACTCAATGTGACTAAATGCTCCCCAGGGCAGTGAGCCTGGACTCTCCTTCGAGGCAGCAATTCACATATGTCATTATAATTAATGATTATTACCATTCTTTAATTTCACTAAACCACTCATGTCCCATTTTTTTCATCTCCAAAGACCATCTTTATTATTTCCTTCATAGATTCTATGCTTTGAAACCCTTTTCATCAGCTCCCCCCACAAAAGGTATGCATTGACTGTTTTACTTTGACTCTCCAGAGCTGATTCTGAGGTCAGTGGAATAGTCAAATCTTCTTTCTCAGTCATTCTCTAGCTACTTTTTTATTCACTGGAATAATTCTCTAGCATCAGCACCTAGTAGTCTACCATGATTCCACCTTGCCTGGAAGTCATGGCCAACTGCTCTGCCCGCCTTCCAGTCTTCTATGTACTGGTCACACCATATTAAACGTGACTGAGTTTCTGTAGC